AAGTGTAAGGATGAAGTCTTCGCCGTTGATCAATCCCTTTGTGGGATGCGGCACGCATTCTACTTCCATTCAGAATCGTAGTGGCTTACTGAATGCGATGTGGCCTATACAATGACTTGCGGGGCCATCCAATGTGGTAGTCAGTGTTTTATTCTCCCGAACGGATCTGATACCATTTTCCCGTCCCCGGGGGCCAGAGGGCTTGGAATGGCCGGGATTTGACCCGCAGACCGCGCGCGTGGCAGGAGTGCCACTTGCCACTACACAACCTCCGCCTCAACTTACTCTTCAATATATAAGTACTAAGACCTCTCAGCAGTAAAGGCTATCAATGACTGCAAGTTGCAGTGCAAATCCCACGATGTGCTGAAGTCCGTGTAAAATGCGCTGCTGGACATCATTGTGAGGATACACCAACTGGTATCACATGTGCTCCCGATCCAGGTAGGCTATCTAACGTCTATAGACCTTGGGGCAAAGGGTATAACGCAGAGCCCGTTAGGGATCCCAGCGAGGAAGGAAGCGACATTTGCTTCCGAGGAAAAAGTGTTAGTTGCTGACTATTCTCCATTTTCCCGTTTCTTGCGTCCTATTTGCTCCTCCTGGTAGGCGGTAGTTTTTTAGGAACATCTCGAAAAAAGGAGAAAAGTAATAGGAAGAGAATGGTAGGTATGAAGAAGAACATGGGGAGGAGTCGCACCTGAGGAGAATCTTCTGAGGAGGAGTGGGGGGGTGTACTTTCCAAGGTTCCGTAACGGCAGGGCGTGCCATGGTACCACGGCTACGAGCCACTTGATCTTTTTCAATTATATGCTGGCGAACCATAATTAACGAGGGGTCTGATAATCAGTGCAATTGTTCAGTCCATAGCTACCACTCTGTTTATTTGCAGTTTGTCCAGCCAATGAAGAATTCAATATATGCGCATCGGACTGTGAGCAGACCTGTGTTGCTATGGGACGGGTGAGTCTCCCAAGCATACTTCAACGTCATACTGTAGGTGCAGCCCATGCTCACCGTGTGAACGGAGTCAAACCCAATATTGTCTCCCTCATGATGCACTCTGCTTCTATCAATGATGCACTCTGCGTTCTTATGACATAGGGGGGAGACGCTCTGAAGAGGAAACGGCAATGGTACGCCCGAATGCGCCCATACAGTCAAGGTGGGTTGTGCCTCCAACCCTTGACCGGTTCAGAACAGCATCTAGAAGGGTTTTAAATTTTGGGCACACTTTAGCTATGTTCTCATCCGGCCAGACCCGGCTAAAACCATGGGTTCACTGAAAAGTTTCATCAGCAGGACGAATGATAGTCTGCTAGGAAGTGTTCCTTACACAAACAATAATTCATTTCATCAGTCAATGACAGTCCTTTCAGCCATGCACTACTCAGTGCTTACCACCAAAGTGCCAGTGCAAGAGCGGATTTGTACGTGATGGTGGACGATGCATTGATCCCAACTCCTGCCCGAACAGGCGGCCGATAACGACGACCACCCAAAACTACGGTATCTGGACATAATTCTTACTTTTACTCTCTCGACTTACTACCTTATAAGTAATAAGCACTTTAGTGGATGAGCCTGTGACCCCGCTCTTGACCAGTTGCGACCAAGCAGTGGTTGCAATTTTGTGCGCTCCTGGTTACCACTGTGACATTGTCAACGGAAGGCCACAATGCGTGCTGAATATAGGTGAGAATCTAGTAAAGGTTCGTTCCCAGTCCTGTTCGCTGCGAACACTGGGGCTTTCAGAAAGCTGACAGGTGACCTTTTTTGGTGAAGAATAGGCTGACGTCAGGTCAAGCTCAGCCCACTGAAACGCCCGGCGTCCGCAGCGAGGAAGACTGTGCATAACAAAACAAACTATATGCGAGCTATTTATTATCTTGTAGCCTCCTCTTACAATTCCTAGTCTCCTATGTTCCTACACAGGAACTTGACCTGACTTTAAGGTGCCCGTTGATTGGGTCTACTACTTTATCCTCTTTCCAGATCGGGTCCACTAATGATGGGGGGAGACCGATACAGCTTTCTTCGGCACATAGGGCAAAAGACCTCTACCTGTGTGAGACCCACGTTTGAGGAAGCTTCGCTCATAGTACGGAGGGGCTAAGGCCGAGTACATTTGAGAGTATTCGAGACCACGGTAATGACCACAAGCGCGGATCTCCTCTCGCCGGATTCGCCTCGTCTCCATCTCCGGGTGGACCAGATACCCGTAGATACTGCAGGCGGGAATCATGGAGTGACATCATAGACCGACTTTATGAGGTAGACAAAACTACCATATCAGGCCGTAACTCTCACCTTCTTCACTATGGAAGTTTTCTCGATTTTCTATCATACGCGCAGCAAGTACTTTAGTGGTTGGACCTGTGTCTCCGCCGACTCCACCTTTAACAAGTTGCGACCAAGCACTGGTCCGAATTTTGTGCATCACTGGTACCACTGTGAAATTGTCAACGGAACGCCGCAATGCGTGCCGGATAAAGGTAAGAATCTTTTATTAGTGTGCTAATGAAAGGCGCCGTCCGTGTTGAGCGTATGAGTGGGGACATGGGCAGAGACAGTAAGCCATTCTGTTCCCCTTTACGGCATGTGGCACGATGAATTAACAAAACGTTCACGTTTCCGACCCTTTATCTTCGCTTTTTCAGCATTCTCCTACTTCCAGCATCCCTACCACTATTTTTCTGGCAAGTACCAAATGATCGGCCTTCTGCTTTTGATCTCGAGCCCATCTTTTAGATGAGGGGCGCACAAATGAGGAAGGCACAATGAATGGATGTCTCCCCTCTACGATCAACGGCTGTGTCTTCAAGGAGGAACAGAAATTCAGCATAGTTAGGAGGGAGGAGTCCCTGAGACCATCACGCAATCCCAATGGTGATTTGCCTTCTCACGAGGGAAGATGGACCAATTGGGAGAGCACGGTTATGCCAATGATACCTGCGATAAACTGCGCGTTCCACTGCTTTCACAAAGGTTTCAGCTGAAAGTCTTCCTGGGCAAAAGCCAGCACCAGTTACTTGTGCTTCAACACTTTGCGCTGAAGGAACCCATTGTGAAGAAATCGACGGACAACCTCAATGTGTGAAAAATCCAGGTATGTCTGAAAGCGTTTCGTTAATAGGTAGAGCCAGGAGGTTGTAGTGAAGGATAAAAGCTCAGTCGAGCTTAAAAGAACTTCCACGTAGCGCAATTGAATGGTTAGACTCCGTCTCTTCAAGGAGTT